AAAACCTACCACACAGAAGGTCCGACAGTCTGAGTCTTAGGCACCCACAGGTAGCCTTGGAACTGGTTCCTCCACTGAGGATGTGACGCTGCACCCGCCCAATCTGACCTCTAGGTCATTAGCCACGCCAAAGAGCTAAGAGGCAGAGGGCCCCATCCCAGGCAACTGTGCCCAAACCTGAATTTAGCAGATCAGGGCATTTCACCACTATCTCTTCTGCCTTCTGACGTGGTCACCTCAAAACAGAAAGGTCCAGCTGCCAAGAAACCTACATGTTACCCTCCTTCAGCCTTCCTGTCCCATCACTCCCCACATCTAGTCAGGTACCACATGTGACTGGCTCCATGCATATCTACCCCTCCACGCCATTCTCACAAACAATGTGCCTAGCCTTTGAAGTAAAGTTGTAGATTTTCTCCCCTAAATTGCTACAGGTGACCCATTTGAGCTCCCTGTCTCTAGCCTCAGGAGTTTCCATTCCATTCCCAGGTATCCCCACAAGCCTTTTGGGATAAAGGCTAAATCTTTCTGCTAATACTGGTGTCCATGAGACTGTCCAGAAAGATTCTCATCAGTCTGGCTTGCCCTTCTCTGCCTCGTGGGCACCAATATGGCTACCACACGCCTACCAGGCTCTCTCAGTGCCTTCCTACCACTGCTCTGTTACTCAAGTGCTCTTCCTGAGCCCTGGCCAGCCTCACACACACATGGGCTTTCCAGGTTCAACTACAAAGCCATCCCTTCAGGACTCCTCCCAGACAAGAACAGTAGACGGACAGTCACAGTTCTGACAGCTCTGTGGGCTACTTCCTCCTCTCTGCTCTCTGGTTTCCTTTCCCCAGCATATTCCCAGAACCTGGCAAGATGCCTGCTGCTCAAAACACAATGAAGTCTCGGGTACCTGGTGGCAAGAACCCTCATACTTGCATGGCTTGACACCTCCTGGGCTCACCTCCATCTGTTACACCATTGCCTCTGTCTATTCTTCCTGACCCAGGAAGTGATTTTATCCTTAGTCCTCTCTTCCTCCCTCATGAACTCAAAGAATTTTAACCAAAACGAAAAGGAAAAAAATCTAACAGCCTGTTACATAATGAGTTCCAGGACAGTCTGGACTATATACGACGAAGACTGTCTCCAGAAAAAAAAAGAACTTGTTTTCTCCACTCCATGGTTGCCATGACAGTACCCAAATACATTCACCTCCTTACAAGGTATCCAATGACTTCAAATGGTAGGCACAGCTGGCGTTTTTGAAGAAAACTATTTACAGACAACCAAGATTTCAAAAGAGATCTTCAGTATCATTTTCCAAAATTTCAAATCTATTATTGTGTGGTGTTTCACTGAACTGAAAACAAATGAAACTGCCAAAATAGTCTTGAGACTAAAAAATAATTGCCGGAAGAAATAAAAGGCTGTTTTACCACTTGCAGCTTTTTGTTTCCATTTTGGCTAATTCCGATTAGTTCAGGGTGATAAAGCATGTCATCCCATTAGAGTGCTCTGGTATCATGATCATCTCTCCAAGCATCTTCATGGTCACCAGTTCTCTTTTCTGGGAAGTCTTAACTGCAGCTGTCAAGATCGGATCTCTTCTGTATGATACAGTGAGCTGAATTTATTTCACTTAAAACTTCAAATTTATTCTCATGTACCAAATAATGTCAAGTATTTACAAAAAAATGCTGATACGAAAAACCATACACAGATACTTGTGGTAGTTTTTTTCCACAATCACCTGAAATTGGAAACGACACTGTTCTTCAACCAGAGAAAAGATGAGCCAACTGTGGTATATCCATACAGTAGAATAGTACTAAATGATAAAAAGAACCAAGAATCGATACACAAAGCAATAAGGACCAATTTCAGGTACATCTTGCCAAGTAGAAGACACCATTTATAGGAAAACGCAAACAATACAGCCAGGGAAGAACAGAATACTGAGAGACTCCGGTGCCAGGGACTGAGGTGGAGGAGAGTTTGCCTCAAAGGGGCAGCAAAAGTTTCAGCATGATGGAATTATTCTGTGTGGATTATGTCAACTCATACGTGGATCTAGATGTGTGTCAAAACCTAACAAACTGTACACTGAGCAAATGAAACACTTTAAATCCTTTAACCATACCTTCATTAGTGACCATCCCTGAAACGCACTTAACACCAACATCTGGGCTGCTGTCTGTGAGGGCTGCTGCTTCAGTTCCGGCAGTTTGAGCAGTGAGGGAGAGATCTCTGCGGGCTGAGGAAGAAGCAACCCTAAACGTCCTTCAGATCCCTGTCACCCTGTACCACCATTCCTTTTTAAGGTTCCCTATCAGGGCAACTTCTGCACCAGCTGTACTTAGCAAGGCTGAGTTCTACCAAGGACATGGGCAAGGTTACTCAAAACCCACAGAACACAGAGGCTCAAGAAGGGATTCAAAAAAAAGGGGGGGACCAAATCCTAACACTGTGACTCAGCCTAGCCTAAAGTATAAGCAAAAAAAAAAAATCCATTTAAATGTGGTATACCTCCTTTCTAGACTGTCCTTAAAAGTGAGCTGCAAGGCTGGGCTGGGTGCGGTGGCACACGCCTTTGATCACAACACTCAGAGTCCAGGTACAAGGATGAAGTTTGAGGGCAGCCTGGCTATATATCAAAACCCCACCTCCAAGGTGGGTGGGAGTGTTTGAGAGCGAAGAGTAGAGGGTGGAAGGAAGAGCGGGAGGGAAGGAAAATGAGAGACTATGAACACAGAATGAAAGTCTGAACCAGGTTAGACTGAGCTGGAAAAGAAAAACACCTTGGATTGAGTGCTCCTTAACATGGAAAATATGAGTCAATTTCAGGCAAAGGATGAAAACAAGCAAGCGTTCACCACCCAGTTACACTCTCTTTCCAGTGTGCTCTCGCCAAACCCGCACATTCCTGCTGCAGACAGGGAAGGCCCAAGGCCCTCCTCAGAGACAGCCTCAGGAAACAGCAAGCAGGCGCCAGCTGCAGCTCCAGTATGGGTGCCTGGGTGTTGCCTCCTGGCTCTCCCAGAAAGGAACATGCCCCTGCTTATTCTCCAGAGCTCTCTGGGTCTGTGGGTCCCTCTCCCCCCCAGGAGACCTGAGCCTGCTACCTTGTTACAGCCCAGCGTGAGATCAACACCTGAGGCCATCTCCAATCCAAGATGAGCTCATGATTGCTGCCTGGGAGAACCAGCTCCCCAACCTCCAGCAGCATTTGCAGCTGGAAAGACTGGCCTAAATGCAAAACAAATGCTATTTTCAGGAGAGACTTCTGGGGGGGGAGGGGAAAGAACAAAGCTAAAACCACCAAGAGACTAACTACTACACCAGACCAGAACATTCCATGACATGCAGTACCTAAAATGGGCTTTTTAAAACACTTTCTCAAGAAACGGTCATCGCAAGGAGCTAACAGTGAAAGGTAAATAAATAAAAGCCCCTGTCCCTAGAAAGACAGGAATGAAGGACTGAATGATAGAATAGCTTATTGTATTACGCTAATTAAGGCTTATCACATTAGCCATCTGAGTTTTAGTTGGCACCTAAAATGCAGGGGCCAACACACCATGCAGTATAGACTGGAATATGCTCGGCTAGCATTATTTCTCTACCACAATCGTCTGCAGAACTCTGGCAGGAGAAAATGAGGTAGAATTGGAAACCAATTTTAGCCCAGTGATTTGCAAAGAACCTTGTTCCATCGTGGAAGCTATTTGCTGGCATATCCGTCTGAGATCACATTTATCTCTATTAAATACTACATAAAGTATTCCAAGCTAACCATGCACTCTAGTCTCCCTCTTTTTGCCAGTGCTAGCACACAGGCGGCTCTCTACAGCACCCCCAAATAAAACATTCCAACAATAAAACCCCCTGCATGCTGAACACCCTTCACTGCTGACAGACTGCCCGCCACTGCCAGTACACAACTTCACCAAGTCTAAGATCCTCTGCATTTCTGAATAGACTAGTCTGCAGAAGCCGGAGAGGAACATGATACGCACTTCAAAGAGAGAAAATGTATTTGCAATCAGGTCTCCCATGGGCTCCTCTTGACTGTACTTTTACCAACCCAGCAGAAAGGCAAAACCAGCTTTGTTGCTGAGATCATATTGGACCTGAGTCTGGTGCGACTGGTTTCCTGTTTGGGGAAGTTGTAGTTCTTTGCACAAGAAACCCCAAGGCAAAATGTTTAGTGTTCTCCTGGAAGCTCCCAGTCTTTGTTCGTCACTAATTTGCTGCCCTCCTCTGCTTTCTCCTCTCCTCTCATCTCTAGTTCACATTTTTTGCCAGTCCAATTCTGACTGCAATAAAGCATTAGACATTTTCTCCCACCCCCCTTCACTAAAGCTGCAAGCTAACTGTCATTTTTTTTTTTTGCACAGATTAAAACCAGACAGACCTGGGTTCCTCCTAGACCTTCGCTAGTACTCCACACTGAAATGTATGCCACAGATAATCCAATGGCAAAACTGCCGACAGCCCCCAAAATCAATAAAAGACATTCCACCACTTGACTGAAAACCCTTTCGGGCCAACACGGAGAGCATGGGAAAGGAGAGGTGAGGGATGAACAAAAGAGGAATCTACCTCCAGGCTCCTCAAGCCCTGAAAAGCTGGCTGGGTGACTTCACTTGGTGAAGCCCTTCCTTTTCTTACAATTGTGGGCAAAATGTACCATGTGGGCCGCCTCAATGCAAAACCAGTGCATTCTCCATAAGGCCCAGCCGCCTACCACCCTCTGAACATGCCTTTTCAGGCCTGACGCTTTCAAATGCCCAGGCACATGCGATTTAATGAAGGCATTCAGATCTCGCCTTGATAGCAACACCATCAAAAAAAGGCAGTGGGATCCATTAAACATGGATAGCATGAAAGGTATTTTGGTCTCCACTCTGAACCCCACTCATCTCCAGGGTACCAATCCACTGTCGGTCTGTGTCAGAATGGATGTGCAAATTAGTATTTAAATTCATGCTAAAAATAGCATATCTCACCTTGTGAACCTTGACCTTTTGAAAAGACTTTGGAGCAGTGCTCAGTTACTGTCACAAGGTTGCATTCTCTGCAAATATGAAAGGGTTAAAAGCAGCCCCAGTCAACAGGCCTACAAGGAAAAAAAAAGAGAGAGACAGCATGTATGGCTGACAGCATCACTGGAACGCATTTATGCTCATTTCCTAGAACAATACTGTTACCTTTTGGCCTTCATAATAGTCCCAAGTATCCCCAACACCCTTTAGTAGCATCTAAAAGGAAAAGCACAAAACAGAACATAGCCTGCAAAAGAAAAAAAAAAGGCATGCAAAGTAGCATTCTCCAGCAACAAACTACCATTACAAATCCATCAGTTCATTCTGGTTGTTTCCCTAAAAACACAGAGAGAGAGACTGCACACACCAAGTGTCCCCACCCTAATAAGGCACATACTTTTTTTTCTTTAATAAGGGTCATAAATCTCAGATCCTTGTCCATTCCCTTAAGCAAAAGCAAAAGGCAGGAAAAGCCCAGCTCCTCTGAGATCCTGCGAACCTGCACCTTTCTCCCGTCGTCTACACAGGATCCTCTTTAGGGCTCCATTAGTCACGTACCAGTGCTGTGTGGTGTCTAAGTGTGCATTTACATACTGTGTTGGGATGGTACCTTCCTGCAAGTTCCTCTGCTTTTGGCTGCCATGAAGGGAGGAAGCTGCTATCCCACTGTAGTAGCTCAGTGACTGCATTGTGTTCAGGAGCTGATCTGCCTCAAACCAGTTTCAGCCGGTTCTGGTCACCCTACATAAAAAAGCTATGGCAACCCTCGCTGAGTTGCCAACAAGTCCCTGAAAATCATCTGTACAGGGTAGGAGCTCGCTGGGGGTTGCCTCTCCCTTTTAGGGCTTCCTGAGGAGGGAAAGGTCATTGTGTGTGCCCCCCTCCACACAAGCGGAGAACCCTGGAAATGCTCACCTCACGAGCCCCCCACAGCCTCTCAGGGCTCATCCCCCTCCCCTCCGCCCCAAAGCCCACCGCAGGCACTGTTTCCCCCTCCTTCTCTTTCCCCCACTTACCTCCCACAACCTGGCTCAGATCTTTGTGTACGTGTGTGTCAGTGTGTGTTGTCTGTGTTGGTGGCTGACAAAGAGCCCCCAGGAAAGCAATCTATGTGTGTCTCCTCACACAGGATGCGTCGGCTGCAGGAGCCGGCCTGGCCTCCTAGCAGAGTGGTGCTGGCTTGTTGACCAGGCTCCTCTCTGCCTGTCACCCCCACCCCACCCAGCCCCCTCCTCCCTTCCGTCCTTCTCCTCTCTCTCCCAGCCCTGTCACCACCAGCAGCAGCAGCCCCCCCAGTCTCCTCCTCCTCCTCCTCCAACCTTCTCTTCTTTCAAGCACCTGGGGGGTAGAAGTCCAAATCCCTTCACCTCTGGGTAGTACACTGGTGAGGTGTGGGGCGCTAGGGGACAAGTCAGTCAAGGGGCAGTAGGGAAGTGGGGGCACCCAGGCCTTGGGAAAATCATCTGTGCACCACAGCTCTGGCGGGGGAGGCGAGCCCGTGCTCACGTGGCCCCCTCTGGAGCCGGTGGGGCCTAGCAACACCGGCCCTGCCTCGGGCCCCCCCCCTCAAGAAGCTGGCTGGGCGCGAAGGCCGGCCGTCCCCAAGGCCAGGGTGGGACAGGCCGCCGCACTCAGGCCAAGGGGCCTGAGCCTCGCGCTCGCCCTGACCCACGGGGTGGCACGAGGGGCCCGACGCCCCCTCCCGCCCACGTCCGCCCGTACCCCCGCGGCCCCCTGTCCCAGGCGCACACCCACCCCCTGGCCGGGCGGGCCTCCGCAGCGCTCAAGCCCGAGTGTCCGGGCCGCGGCTCGGGCGACCTCTGCTCCGCGCGCCGCCGGCGGCTGCTGCTGCTGCGCCCGCTGCAGTGCGAGCGGCGGCGGCGGCGGCTTCCATGCTACGGGCGTGTCGCGCCTCCCCGCCGCCGGGGTCTGTGTGCGAGAGCAGAGCCGGGCCTCGCCGCCCTGGGGCTCCCCGCCGCCGCGGCCTCGCCGTGCGCCCGGACGCCGGCCCCGCTCCCGGGCGCGGGCTCTAGGCCGCGCGGCGGCGGCTCGGCCCGGGCCACGCCGGGGCCTAGCGCTCGGGCCGCCCGGGCGGCGAGCGAACAAAAGGGAGCGCGGCGAGGGGGAGGGGGCGCCGTGGGGGAAGGGAGCCCGAGCCGGGCGACGGAGCGCGAAGCCCGCGGCCGCGACGCCCCACCGGCCCGCGGTGCCTCGCCCGGGGTAGACGGCCGCACGGCACGGCCCGGAGGTGCTGGTGGCGGTGCTGGGGACGGGGCCGAGCGGGGGCTGTTTTGCTGTCTTTTCAAACGACACTTGAGACTCTCACCCAGTCCTTTTCCATGGCCCCAAGCCGCGACTTACTGGAGTGGAAGGAAGCAAGGCCTCGCCAAAGATGGTTGAAAAAAATGCCCGTGAGCCTCTCTACCCAGGATCTTGAAGCCAAGGTGGTGGTTGTGCTGTCCTCCTCGTAATGGTGGCAAATAAGTAAGAAGAGAGCAAGCTATCTTCAGATAAATTCAATCTGAGATTCTCCCAGGAGGTGGAAGAAAGGGCTCCCTTCTGTTAGTTAGTGGTTTGGAGCCCTTTTCGCCTTAAACTGAGCCACAAAAGAATGGAAGACACCCCTGGGGTGGGGAGAAAGCCCTGGTGTAAAAGACACACGTTTTGCTTTCAGAGAAAAAGCCACTGGGGCCAGATTGAAGCATGGCATGTTCGGTTCATGTAGGGTGGTTTTTTTTTTTTTTTAAACTGGGGGAATGCTACTGAGTAAACACGGTGGAATAGCTGGGTCTTTAAGTTCTATAAGGAAAATGGTACGCAAATGTGACAAGCACAAGTTGTCTATACAGCAGGTGGTCATGGCTTACAGAACACAGGCTGAAAGATACATACAGAAACCCAGCCAAAGGCCAGGAAGGGAGATCATCGTAGCCCATCCGAGAGGGAGACAGCGTTTCCTTCCGTGCCACATGAAGTATGCTGTTTTCCAGCCCTGTGTCCTGGTGCCCACATTGTGTACAGTCGAGCTCGCCATTGAAGGGCTTTTTGTTTGTTTGTTTGTTTGTTTGTTTTAAACAAGAGAAACCTCCATGTCGAGCTAATTGTGCTGAGTGGAAGTAGGACAAAATGGAAGGATCTGAGGGAAACAAAAACCTGCCACCATTACCTCCTAAAAAGGCTCCCTCCTGTCTGCTTGTGCTCTGAAGATAACACTATCACTGGAATAACTTCGAAGAATCCCAGCAGAAGTAATCCCGTGTGCTTTATTTTAAAACAGACTGGTGGATGTCTGCAAAGTGTACAGAGAAGTTTTTCTTTGAAATCTCAGGATTCTCTTGCACTCACTTCCGTTGGGGAAGCCATTGTTCTCTGTGATAGGGCGCTGTAGGATGTACACACACACACTGTAAAAGAGCTTTTGCTCTTTGAGACTCTCCATGCAAATGACTTGAATTATTGTCTCACATGAAGGAGTTCTTTAATTTCAGCCGGCCATTGTGCCGTGATGCCCTCTATTGCAATGCGTGTCTGCCCAGGTTTAGGAAGACCTATGCAGTCGGCAGATTTTGCCAACCACAGCATCGTGTTTGCCAGTGTTACAAGGTGATGAAACTGAAACTCTCATCTTCTTGGAGCCAGAGAACAATGCCACCCTACACACTCTGTGTGTTGGGTTTCAGCCTTGCTTGGACTTTGTTTGAAAGGAAGCCTTTTCCTTCTTCTGAAGGTAGGCCCTTGTTAATATGCATGTAAAAAAAATTATGTGCATTGAAGAGAATACACGGACCTGGTAATCTGAGACCCTGATATGCTAGCACCCTGTCGCAATATATAGAATTTGAGCGTGCAGATGTCATAGGAAGGTCGAGGGTTGGTTTGGAATCTTTTGTACTTATAGTGCTCTCCTGCCCCTCCCCCACTCCCTACTTAGCACTGAGAGCTTAGGGAAACACCATTTAAATGGCTACAAGAGTTGTGCTCCCTAAACCAAAGTCTAACTTGCTTACCCTAGGAATCCAGCTGTGCAACTGCCCCACGTATTTGTAATGCCAAAGACTTTGTGAGCAGGGCTCTCAAGCCCAGAATCTTGGTCAACCCTTGGCTGGAGGAAAATTTGGACAAAAGACAGGAGCTAGCTAACATTGCATCTGCTTTTAAACCAGAAACAACCAAAAAGTAAAAGATACCAATTTCTAGCAAATTCTCTCGTTTCTATTTTTACAATGAGGGTTTCAGAGAAACCTCTTGGCCAGATGAACCGATAGTTAAAAACAAAGCAACCATTTGAACCCATTTTGCAAGATCACTGCATTTCACAGCTGAAGAGACGGATTCTGAGTTGAGGGTGAGGGGACACGACAGCTCTTCCAAAACAATCACTACGAAAAGGTACATTCGAATATTATACACGTCAGACTACCTTGTATACCATTATGCTTTGAGCAGCAGTAAAATAGTAATTTGACCACAAAAAACGAAGTAAAAGCCTTGTGTGCGTGCAGTAGATAAGGACAGGACAAAGAAAACATACCCTTCTCATGCCAGATAGAAACTACAGGAATCCCAAGTCCTTTGGGATTTTGTTATTGATGCTTTTATTGCTAACACTGAATGCCTCGGTGTTCCCTCCAGTGTATCGGAGAATCCCAGCTTCGCTTTTGCTTTTTGTTTTATTTAACCTTTTGTGGTTGGAAGCCAGCTCTGTAAAAGCCTGTAGCCACCATACTTTCCCTCCTTCCACTCTGAAATTGGGAAATTCCTTTGTTAGGCAGAGCACACAAAAGGTGTGTTCCTGGAGGGAGGAGGGCGGGGAGAAAAGCCTTTTCTTTATCTCAGCATCTAAGGCCTTGCAGACAAACTCCTCAACTGCTGCTGGAGGTTTTGAGCTGCACTTTTTTTTTTTAAGCTCGAAACCAAGATAGGCCTAGGTATGTGTAGCTTGTAAAGGGTTTAACATGCACCATTTGCTAGCGTGTTTTTAAAGGAATCATTTCAGTATTTGACCTAGAATAGTAATTTAATGATTTGTAGCAGATGTGTAGATGGTCACATCAAAGTCAGGGAGCATTTCCTATTAAGAACAGCAAACTTGATAGAACTGGAATTTTTCTTTTCATATATAGTTCCAAAAACATACCCCCCCCCCAAAGAAGTCATCGCCAGTTTGTCATTGTTATCAGTCAGAACTGGACTGAAAAACAGATCCCAGACTTGCTCTTTGTTAGTGACCTCAGGCTTTCTGTGGGAACACCTCCTTCCCTTTCCGGAGCTTCAGCCCAGACCCGAAGACCTGAAAGGGGGGCCAGGGTGGCTCCTTCGTAGTGGGCAGCACTTAGGGGGCTCGTAAGTGTCTGAATGACCTCCCAGGTCCTAAGGAGTGACTAAATACATTAATACTTAACTCCACCTGTCTGGTAAATCGATGATAGCTGGCCCTATTCAAAGGAAGAAGATGGGTTGGGACAAGAGAAAGTGGGTGATGTCTGTGAGCTGTACCTTGAAGAATCAGAGAGCCACAGGGATGGTGCTTAGGGGGGAAGTTAAGAATGCTGTTCAGAAATGGTGCTGGAAAGAACTCTGCTGAGAACAAAAGGCATTCTCTGACCCTTCCCACCTGACTGCCATGGAGAGAAACCGTGCTCCTGCTTGTTTCCAACTACTGAGCCTAGGGAGAGGGAAAGAAAAGGCTGAGAAGGCATCAGAGGAAAGAAAACACCGTGGGACTCCATCATCCCTTGACTATGACCCCCATCCTCTACCATCAACACCCCATCACACTCCTAGAGCAAAAAGCCTTGGGGTTGGGTGCCGGGTTTCCAGCCGTGGCATCCTAGTTCCTCCCTGGAGGGGATCTAATGGGTGAGTCTCCTGCAGTGAGGA